TGGAGGCTGCATTGGCTTGGAGAAGCCCGGAGGGGGGCCGAATTATGCCCTGAGGGGGCCTAGGGGGACCCTGAGGGGGCCTAGGGGGACCCTGAGAGGGTCGAGGGAAGCCCTGGATAGGCTGAGAAGGGCCCTGACGGGGCCGTTGTTGGAGGGCCGGAAATGATCGGTCATTCACCGGCGGTGGAGCTTTCCTACTGGGGCGAGGTTGAGGTGCGCGTGGGCAACCCTTGTAGTTCGCCGGGTGTCCTGTCTGGTTGCACAGGACACAGGCGGGCGGGGATTCGGCGTCTTTGGCCCGGGGACACTCTTTTGTGTTGTGAGGTTCTAGGCACTTCACGCACCTGGGTGGGGCGGAGCAGTTGGCCGCCGCGTGACCATAAAGTTGGCAGCGGTGGCACTGCGCCGGGAAACCGGGCCTATGTGGGGGCTCTACCTTCACCCTTGACAGGCCGCACACTGTGCGCACCTGCCGGAAGATGGCCTTTAGCCTCCGGCACGTTTGTCAGGATTACTAGGGCAAGGTTGTATCTCTTGCCCGTTCTATTGTGCATTTTGTGCACTGCTTCTACGGGGGAAACCTTGGGACTTAAGGTCCTCGAGGATTTCCTCGTTAGAGAATTCGAATGGGACGCCTCTGATGACGGCCCTAACTTTACGCTCTTCAGGGAGAGCGTACGTGTGGTATGAGACCCTTTCGTCGTAGCAGGTCTTTGACAAGTGGGTGAACTTAGCCTTGTCTCTTAGGAAGACAGGGGGCGGGACTTGCTTCTTCGCTAGTACTGGAGCACAACGAGAGGCTGGTTTGGATGGTGTGGGGATGTCTAGTGACATCAGTGGGACGGGGGCAGCGTCGAGGGCTGCGGAGGTTGAAGGAGCGGCAGGGGCCGCTGAAGGGGGGCGGGGTGCGTTTTATCGCGGCGCGCTTTCCGTTGCGCTTGGAGGTGACTGTGGTGAAGTTGGACTCCCCGGTTCCGTCGGAGTCAGAGGACTCCGATGAACCGGAGCCTGAGGTAGTGGCGGGCCTCTTCCGGGAGGTCGGTGCCGAGGATTCGGAGCATGCGTACTCCATATCTAAGGGGGCAGATTCTAGTGGGGCAAAGGAGTTCCTCGTTTCGAGGTACGACTGTAATACTGGCGGTGGAAGGAGTGCCTGAGGGTCAGGGAGGGGAGCCTGGGCGGCGATGGTGGCGATGGCGGCTATGACCGTCTCATTGCCATTTAACCCGTATTGGGTAATGAGGGCGGCTAGGGACTCAGTGAAGCTAGAGTTGGTCGAGTAAGCTAAGCTAAGTAAAGGTGAGGACGGGTCCCTGCTCTCGGTAGAACAGGGACTAGAACGCGAGACGTACTACAACACACTATGCACGCAATAGTAATGCAAGAACACAAGAAAAATGACAGTACACAAACAAAATTGAAAAATTATAATGAAAAATTATAATGAAAAGAATGAAAATGATAATGAAATGAAAATGAAATAAAAAACGAAAATGAAAATGAAAACGAAAAATGAAAATGAAGCGGAGGTCAGTCAGACCTCCCTGCCCGAAGACAGGGGGGTAAGAGCTGTAGCGAGAAGTGACTCACCGGCAGCCTCGACGCTGTTCCGCGTGAGCAGGACAGCGGAGGCGCGTGAGAGCGAGACAGCACTACCGTACTGTACGGGAGCGCGGACCACCAGGAGGCGACCGTCCGAGAACGATGCCGCCGGCGGACTGAGCACTGCGTCGGCGCTGCACAGCGCGAGCGGGCCAGCGGAGGCGCGAGAGCGGGAGAGCACTACCGTACAGGAACGAAAGCGCGGACTACCTGGTTGCGCCCGCTCGGAAGCGATGCCACAGGCGGAAATGACTGATATGTTAAAGTTGAGGATTATTGTTAAGTACTATGTAGACGAAAACACGATTCCGTAAAATTTACCTCAGAATACCAGCGTCAAATAGTAGCTTAATGCTGACGTGTTTCGTACGGTAAGTTTAGAGAACCGGAGACCCTTTTTACGGGAATCGAGGCATTCCACCTAAGTCCTCTGAACTAACTATAAAGCAGGGCTTGTTTTTTATTATTTTTTAATTACCATTATTTTCACTAAGAAATAAATTACCTATACTATCGGTGTCCTGAACCTTGTTCGCTGCCGCCCGAACAGTCTCGCTTCGCTTTTCGAACGGGAAAGCTGTGTCGCTTACGATCAGAATACACATTACGCAACAGGACGACGTAAAATTAAAATGGGAAATAATCGTAATAAAAATAAGAAGCGACTGGCTTGGCGTAAAGAAACAGGCATAAATATGATAAACCTAATGAAATAAATATCTAAAGACCTATCTACTTTTTTCTATTTATTTGATAATAATTTTACAATATTTAGATTGGTATTTTACAGTATAAACATAAGCTATAATACAGCTTTACCGTATACTGATGCCATCAACATACATAGCATGATAATTATTATGCCTAATAATTATCTCATACATCAAAATGTTGTGATGCACGCATTGAACCGCACTCCCCGTACAGTCAATAAACCGGCGTTCTCCGTGGCGATGGCGTTATTTGTCTACCTGGCTTGACGTGTCGAGTTCGCACGTACAGGCTGTTCATATAATTTGATACTAATTAATTATATTAAAGATAAACTTATTTTATATTATTAATAATTATTGTATGTAACATTAGTACTTACAGTATTAGTGATTACAAGCATGTCGGTACATAGCATACGACGCGCGGGGAAGTGGGGACGTAATTAGAATTTGAGCTGAGGTAGTGTAGGCTCTTAATAGAAAATTATCCTAATACTATAACGTTATAACGATAAATCGTTATTAGCAGGTTTTCGCTATTGGTACTGTGCATTATGTTGATGGTACGTGCTGTATGGATCGCCATAACTAATCCCATTCTTTATTCGTACAGGCTATAAATAAGTAATTGCCGGGATAATTGTAAATAGTTCGATGCGATCATTTTTTTTTATAGGATAGGGTGACAAACGAGCACACAGTCCACCTGATGGTAAGTGGTTGCTGTGGCCCATAGACATCTACATCTATCCTCGATTACGAATCAAAATGCAGATGTGTTGTCACCCGTGAGGACTAAGATGGAATGCCTCGTTTCCAGTAAAAAGGGTCTCCGGTTCTCTGCACTCACCATACGAAATACAGCAGCATTAAGCTACTATTTCACGCTGGTATTCTGTGAGAGCGTGGTCCTTCCCCGGTTGAGCCGACCCATTCGTGCTACAACTATACTACTAATATAACTGCAGCATGGCTCTACCACGTAAAATTGTAAGAGTTCGTCAACTAGTCAGTCAGTCCATCAGTCAAACAGTCAACTCATTTGAGTTAGTCTCTCTCATACAGTCCAGCTTAGTTTTTTTTATTAGTAAATACAGTCCACTTGCTTTACCCGATCTTTTCATCGACTTTAATGAACTAAAAATAATTTCACATTCTAAAGTCGGGCCTTTGATTATTCAATACCCTATAACTTAACACCGACTTAAGTTTTTTCTTAATAACACTAGGATTTTCTCCTGTATTGTGGAGGCAGTTTACATACATAAATTGCACAAGTACAAACATCCATTGCACAAGGGCAAACATCCAAACCCGGAACAATGTGCGGGATTCGAACCCGCGGTCCTTAGCGCTGTAACTCATTGCTAAGCCACTGCGTCACGGAACCGTCAAAAATATGGAATTATTTTATTACTTTTAGGCTCTTAAGTAAGCTTTTATATTTTGTTAAAATTAAAATTTTCCTTAATGTCACGTGGTAAAGCCACGTTGCAATTATAATGGTTGCAGCACAAATACGTCGGCTCCACTGGGGTAGGACCACGCTCTCACAGAATACTAGCGTAAAATAGCAGCTTAAGGTTGCTGTGTTTCATATGGTGACTGTAGAGAACCGGTGACGCTTTTTACTAGAAACGTGGCATTCCATCTTAGTCTTCGTGAGTGACAACGTATCTGCATTTTGATTCGTAATCGAGAATAAATGTAGATGTCTATGGGCCACAGCATCCACCAACCATTAGGTGGACTCTATGCTCATTTGACACCCTTATTATATAAAAACTGTGAGTGCGACAGAGAAGAAATGTTAAAAATTCTTACCAGTGTTGAGGTACAACAGTCCACTAGTAAAAAAAATTAACGTTATCAGAACGCTAGGCAGCTGAATTGGCGGTCGCTGAATAAAACCCCTTGGAGACCATTTGTACCTTAGACCCTGTTTTTCATCTAAAATAATTTAGGTCTTAAAATATTTGAGATATTCTGCGTAGCGATGGTGCAGTAGAATCTCACAATATTTCGTAGGTGTTGTGTAAGAGGCGATAGTGGTAAACTTAAACTAGAAATGAGCAGCGGCATCTGCCTGATGACAACTAAAAAATAATAATCAAGGAAACTGTGTCTGCCAAGTGTAGAAACTATGGCAAAAATGTCTCTATAATATGGCTGTCTGTCTATGAGCGACACCTACATGGAGGTTAGAGAGAAGGAGAACGATCGCTGTAGAAAATAGTGTCCCAGAAATATGGACGAAATATTTGAGGCGCTGCGATCGCTAAGTTGTCCTAATAAAAGTCATTTTCAGTCTATTTTTCCGATCAAATGCTAAACCACTTGCACATCCACGCACAATACAATGTTTCACCATTTTTTAATGTTTATTTTTGTCAAAAATTAAAAAATTACGGAGCACGATCATTTCCTCACCAATGCCGCGAAGAAAATTTGTACATTATTCAACTAATTTCATCTACTTGTACTCATAAACAGCGAACTTCGCAGATACTACTTACCGACGGCATTTCAGGGACAGGCGAGCTATGCTTTAGCACGTAGCGATCATTCTCCTTTTCTCTAACTTCCATGTTCACACCTAAGTTCGGTATTTCTCTTATGTCATTTTGTCAGAGTAAACATGTGAGTCATGATTTCCACGCAAAAGTCATTGTGTTTTCTTTGTAGCTACAAGTGCTTGGAGCTTTGTGCGAATCAAGTGAGACACAGGAATGTGTAATGAAAGAAGTGAGCCCAGATTCCTTCGAAGACACATTATATAGTGTACTACAATACACATCGCAGGTATGGATAACTTGCAATATTTTTTTTTTCAAGAAATGTTCAATGAACTCTACCCACCTACTGATAAGCACTCATCCACAAAACAACCTTGTGACCTATTAGTTGAGAGTACTTGATTGATATGACGCACAGGTCTTGGGTTTGAATTTCAATCCAATCTATTATTTATAGAAATATTTGAAAAATCCAAAATTGCACGCCTCACACGCTTACTATGTTAAAAATAAAAATGATGAAAACGGAGAATCTGACCGACATTCTTTAATAACTTTTAAAAATTAAAATTCAAAGTGATGAAAATAGTGACGTTAATTTTTAAAAGAAAAAAAAACAGCAAATCTGATCGACATTCATTAATAACTTTTAAACAGTGTTTAGTTCAGTAACAAATTGATTTTTGTCGAGAGAGACGCTGCTTAGAATGTATGGAATCTTATTTAATACTATATATCTCAACCTATTATTGCTACAGTATGTGGTGTTAGTAAGAGAAAGAATGAAAGGAAAAATAATACGTTATGGTGGGACGATGAGATAAATATGGAAGTTGAAGCAAAGAAGAGAGCATGGCTAGATTTACTAGCAACAAAGGCTGGTAATTCTAACGGTACGAATGATGATATTGAAAGAAAAAAGGCAGTCTTTAGACATCTAAATAAGAGAGTAAAAGAAGTAGTTGAAAGGAAAAAGCAAGAAAGAACGGATAAGAATGATAGAAGAATATCGGATAACTTCCAGGTAAATATTAAAATGTTCTGGAAACTGGTAAGAACTGCCAGGGGACATTCAAAACAGCCTATAATTAATGCTATAAGAGATGAGAATGGCTATATTCTGAATAATGAAATTTTGAGTTGAAAGAGATGGAAGGAATATTTTGAAAGCGTGTTTATGAGTGAGAAGACAAGGTATGTACTAAGTGAAGTAGAAACTCCGAAAGAAGAGGAAAGAGGTAGCGAGATAAGTATAGATGAAATAATGAAAGCAATGAAAAGCATGAAAGCAGGTAAGGCTGCCGGATATGATAGAGTTTCACTCGAAATGCTAAGGGCTGGAGAGGAAGTGGTGGCAGGCCTGCTGCACACCTTGTTTAATTTATGCTGGGAACTGAAGTGGGTACCGGTAGAGGTGCAAAGCCGTGATAGTTCCAGTATAGAAAGGAAAAGGGTCGCAGCAGTACTGTAAAAACTACCGTGGTATCAGCCTTCTTAGCATTGTGGGAAAACTGTATGCTATATAGCCTTCTTAGCATTGTGGGAAAACTGTATGCTAAGGTACTGATTGAAAGGGTCATGAAAGAAACTGATGAAAAAATTTGGGATGTGCAAGCGGGAATTAGAAAGGGAATGGGATGTATAGATCAAGTCTTTTCCATGCGCATGATCGCGGAAATGTTTTTGGCTAAAAACCATAAGGTATTTTGTGCGTTCATGGACTTGCAAAAGGCCTATGACAGAGTGGATAGGGATGTGCTATGGCAAACACTGAATTCATTTGGGTTGAACGCTGGCTTCATACAGGCATTGGAGTCGCTTTATAAGGACTCTAGTGCTTGTGTTAGGATCAACGGGGTCTACTCTGACTGGTTTGGCATCCATAAAGGTGTCAGACAGAGCTGTGTGGCTCCTCCGTGGCTGTTCAACCTATTTATGGACAGTTGTTTGCAAAATTTGAAAGTTGAAGAATGCGGATTAAGAATGGGTGAGTTAACCGTCAAATGCCTTTTGTACGCCGATGGTTAAGTTATTCTTGCGTCGTCGGCGGCCGAGCTGCAAATGATAGTTACATTAATGAACAGATCATTAAAAGAAAGGGGTATGAAAGTGAACGCAAGTAAGACGAAAGTTATGGTTTTTGAAAGATAAGAAAGTAAGACGATATGAGAAATAAGAATAGAAGGGGAGTTGATCGAGCAAGTAGATGAGTTTGTATATATGGGTTTCGTATTTAGCAGGGATGGGAGATGTGATAAGGATATAGAACGACGAGTGAATGCAGGAAATAGAGTAAATGGGGCCCTACACTCTATTGTGAAGTATCAAAATGTGTCGAAAAAGGCACGTATGGCAATTCACAATGCTGTGTTGGACTCTACTTTAACGTATGGTAGTGAAAGTTGGGTGTGGCAGAAGAAGCACGAGAGTAGAATGAACGCAGTAGAAATGCAGTCGTTAAGGAGTATTAAGGGCTGAATCTGAATGACAGGGTAAGAGATTGTGTAATAAGAGAAGAGTGTGGTTTGCAAGACGATGTTGTGACCAGGATTAAGAAAGGAATGCTTCGGTGGTTTGGTCATGTGGAAAGAATGAATGAGGAAAGAGTGACAAAGAAAATTTATGCCGCAGAAGTGAATGGCAGAGTCGGAAAGGGACGTCCTAGGCGAAAATTTATCGACCAAATTGGCGATTTATTGAAAACGGGCCAAAGTAGGAGTACCCTTAACCGACGAGCATGTATGCGTAGGTGTATGGATGTGAAGGAGGCAAGAGAGGTGTGTCAGGATCGTGCAAAATGGAAGTCTGTAGTCTCTGCCTACCCCTCTGGGTGACAGGCGTAAGTGTTTATGTTTATGTATGTATATGTATTATTGCTCACATTTCTATTAAGCGAGAAGACTCACCGACGCACAGACCAACGGACGGCCGTCCATATATTATTTTCAGAGCTTTTGTTATGTAATATAAAGTGAATCAATTAGAACACAAACTAATCTTATAATTCAATGTCTGTAGTTATTATAACGTTAGTAATAACGTGGATTTGATGTCTAGCTAAAAGTAAAAGAACGATTTTATGTAGCGAAATTGAGGCCTCACTTTGTGAGGTGTGCAAATCACAAGCTCTTTTTTTATTAGAAATGTTACCTCCACAGTTGTGATTTTCTTCTATATTGTAGTCGTTTTACACACTGTTTGTGGGGTTTGTGGGTGTGATGGTCCATTTGTTTGTGACATGGAACTAACTCTACCTTTGATATTATTGTCTAGCATTACATCGAATATGGGTGGGTGGAGACCAGCTTGAGTGCCCGTTTGTCTGCGTGCAGGTTTGGCTGTAATATTGTCAGTTCTTTAAGCTATATGCCTGGCTCATTACTGATCCATAAGCTTACCTATATATATGAAAAGAAAACTTTGTACCCATTTTCTGCCAATGTCAATTGTCAAACATATAATACTCTGTGGTCAAACAGTCGCACAGAGTGGAGATTGTAGCCAAAGAAGTTTAAAATATTGCCAATAAAATAATAACTGACAGATTAACTGACTGAAAAAAAACTGTGAATTTTGTGTAATTTCTAATGTTTCTTTTTCAATAGTGTGTGAAGAGTATTAGATAACTGTGTTTTTTATATTACTAGCTTGCCAGACATTGTTCTGCCCATTTCGACGACCCTTTGGTCATGTCCTATTAAAAATCCTTAATTTCACAAAAAATATTTGTGGGTCACTCATGGGCAAAAATTATCTTATCTCTCAAAGTGGGCCAAACTGCACGCGATGTGCAAATTTGATTAAAATCGGTTAAGTAATTTAGGAGTCCAACTCATGACCAACAGTTGCACTACAACAACCACTAGACCAACGAGACAGTAAAATACAGCTTGCTTAATATACAAACTTAAAAATGTAATTAATTGTGGTCAAATATCGACCACTGGGCGACCGCTAACCACTAGTCTATTTTAATTGCAGAATGGTCCACCGGGTGCCGACGTGGCTCAACAAGCGGTTATAGTTGGCTGTCGTACCGTCCTCACTCTGACCCCGCTGTCCAGGGAATGGGAAGCAGCGCTGAATAGGCTACTGGCTCATCATCAAGTAAGATACACATTATCGACATACACTACGCAGATATAATCAATGACAATGATGTTGCCCTGGTCAATTTTGACTACTGATACGAACTTCCGAATACCATCAACTGCTGTGGTAGTTATCGTAAAATACTTTTTGATGATGTTTCAAAATAAAAAATGCCCATATGATTTGGCGGCCGTTTGAATTGACAAGCAATTTTTAATATTTAAACGCGAAGATACCCTTCATTGAGTAGTAAATACGCCGATTTGGTAGACTCAATCGGTAAAGGAATTTTCATATTATAATTGTAAGCTTATTTTTTTTTTCAAAAAAATCCTGGTTTTCTTGCTGGTTCTTCCCAGGACAGAGATTTTTCTGATCCAGTGGTTTAAACAAAAGAGCGACTAGAGTCAAAAGTAAAGAGTGAATAGTACAATAAGTATTATTTATAATCTATATTGAATAAAAAAGTTTCTGTTTCTGTAGAAAATGTCTTCAAAATTTACGGTTAAAGGTAATTCTTTCGTGTTAATTTTAAAGACTGCAAATTCTAGGGTATTCCAGGACTAAACATAGTTCCATTAATATATAAATGGGACGCATTTGGAAATATGTTTAGGCGCTATACACGGAACTCATTCCGAACTATGTTTTGGGATATTTCTATACCATTTTTTAGTCAATAATGATACGAAAATGTAAATGACAAAAGGTTGCCCTAAAGGCATTGGTGTTGCATTTTGTTAACATATTCCCAACAAGAAAGAAAAACATTTTAATTTAACAAACATTCAATAATTTGTTCAGCATGGTCTCCCTTAAAAGCTTATGTCATTTTTATTTACATTAATAGTTACAAAATACGAGTTTCTTAAGAGAACATTCGTTTAACAAAAATTGCTTGTCTGCTGAACTTATATTTTTAAATATAACCCAATTCAAAAATAACAAGTCTCAGCATCAACATGTATAATAAATAATCGTTACAATCAGTTCAAAAACAGAGAAATTTTGCCCAAACTTACATTTCCCTGCTGTTTTGAAATCGGTTAAAACTATAAAATGTCGCCATTGGTCAGCAGCTGCTGTTATACAAAATGTAAGTGTAAACACCGTTGTCACTAAAACCATTGGTAGTTGGCTTTAATATAAAAATATTTATCCGAATTTAAAAAAAACGCCATTTTCTTTCATAAAATTTAAAAAGTTTCTGTCCGACACCATCCGTAAATTCATGGATACCCTATGCGCCCAAGTGACGCAATCACTATAAGAAGCCTGCGCTAGCTACCTACACAACATTCCAATAAAATACAATAGGTACACATAACCTGTTATGTAACTTTTCCTTCATACTTTCATCCTGGCTTAGGACAGGCGAAAATTGAGGAATTAGGGAAAAATTGAGATCTCAAAACTAGATTGTACAACCAGTGCGTGTTGCCAGTGATGACATATGGAAATGAGACGTGGTCCTTCACTGCTGGCGGTATGAGGACGCTCAAAGTCGCTCAGCGAGCTATGGAGAGGGCTATGCTTGGAGTGTCTCTGCTCTAGCTCGAAGAACCGATAACCGATGGGGAAGAAAGGTTCTCTAGTGGCAGCCTCGTACCGGTAGGCGTAGTGTAGGGCGACCCCCCACTAGATGGAGTGACGACCTGGTAAGACATGCAGGAAGTCGATGGATGCAGGTGGCTCAGGACCGTGCTTTGTGGCATTACTTGTGAAGGGCTGTAATGATGATGATGATGATATATATATATATATATATATATATATATATATATATATATATATATATATATATATATATATATATTGTTACGAGCTTGAGGTTCGTGACAATAAAAATTGCCGATAAAATTACCTAAATTAACACTTTAATTTACTTTACACAAATTAAAGTTAAAAACACTAATAATTAAACACACTTATTCACTTTATTCCGCTCCGAAGCTTCGCTTGTTTCGCCCAAATCAACACTACTTCGATCGCATCTTGCAGCGCCTATATATTTGAATTAGCAAAGAAATATCCAGAATGTTCAAGTAAACACGCGGAAGGTACCGAGCGTTCGAGTTTCGACTAGGCGCTGTCAGTTGAGCGATTTGTGATGTCATTTTCTCAATGCTCCCCTCACTCTCGTTCCTGACACTAGATGGCGCTAGTTGACTTATTCATGCAACACTGCCCCCTCCTAAGACATGCTCGTCCCGAGCATTATCGGTCCCATAATAACGCGCCAAGCGATCCACATGGACGATCTTAGGAGTCCCTCTTGCGCCTTTCTGTATCCGGTAGGTCACATCGTTGATCCTGGTTACAATCCGGTACGGGCCGTCCCATTTAGCTTGAAGCTTAGGAGATTTCCCTTTGCTGCGGACTGGATTGTGCAACCACACAAGTGAACCTTCGTCGAAACCTTTGTTGTTCATTTTGCGGTCATACCGGGTTTTCATCTTTTCAGACATTTGCTGGCCCGATTGTCTGACGTGCTCATAAACGTCATTCATTTTTTTCCGCAAGTCATTTGCATAATCGGTTATACTGCGTGGAGCATCGGGTGGTATCCCGGTGATCAGGTCTGCAGGCAGCCGTAATTCTCTTCCAAAGTTTGCGAAAGCTGGTGTCACTGCTGTACTTTCGTGAACAGAACTTCGATATGACAACAAAAACGGTTGTATGTGCTTGTCCCAATCTCGTTGCCGATTGTCTACAACTTTTGCTAGGTACCTCTCCAATGTCTGATTAAATCGTTCCACCATTCCATCAGATTGCGGGTGATAAGAAGTCGTTCTTGTTTTATGAGTACCCATAACTCGGCAAGTTTCCTGGAATATTTGAGACTCAAAATTCCTTCCTTGATCGCTGTGAATCTCTAAAGGTACTCCAAAACGACAGAAGACTTCATGAACTAGTTTATCTGCAACTGTTGAAGCTTCTTGATTTGGAATGGCGAAGACTTCTGGCCACTTAGTGAAGTAATCCATCACAACCATGAAATACTTGTTACCGCTTTCACTCTCCGGAAACGGCCCCGCCACGTCAATGGCTATTCTCTCCCATGGTGCACCAACATTGTACAACTTCAATGCACCTCTACTACGAGTCTGAGGTCCTTTTACAGCCGCACAACTTGTACATTTGCGACACCAGTCCTCGACATCGTTTCGACAGTGGACCCAGTAAAACCGTTCTCGGATCTTCAGTAGAGTTCGTTTAACTCCCAGATGGCCTCCTGAACAATCATTATGGTACAGCTGTAGAACATCCGGTACCTTAACTTTAGGGACAACCATTTGCAAATGACAGCTGTCTCCCCGAACGTTTTCCCATTTCCGACACAGAACTCCATCCTGAAGCAGCAAGCTGTCCCACTGGGCCCAATAGCTTTTAGTGGTCGAACTCATCGCTGAGACGTCACTCCACTTGGGCTTGGGAGCACTGGCCTTTATCCATTCCAGAATCGGCTTGATGTCCGGATCTTCCTGCTGTGCATGTAGTAAGCTGTCCTTCCACTTGTTGCTGAGGTGGTCTGCCCTGAGCATCCTCACGGATACCACTTCCTTACTCTCTTGCCTAGTACAATGTTTGCAATCTTCAGGACAAGGTCTTCTTGACAATGCATCTGCGTTGCCATGAGATTTCCCGCTGCGATATTCGATCTCAAAGTCGTATTCCTGCAGTAGTTCAATCCACCTCGCAACTTGTCCTTCTGGGTTTTTAAACTGCAATAGCCATTTTAGTGCAGCATGGTCAGTTCGTAAGTGAAATTTTCGTCCCAGAAGATATTTGCTAAAATGTTGCAACGACTTTACCACAGCTAGCAATTCGCGTCTTGTGACACAGTAGTTCCTTTCCGGTTTTGACAACGACTTGCTGAAGTACGCTATCACGACCTCTTGGTCACCATTCCGTTGAGACAACACACCGCCGAGTCCTATATCACTTGCGTCTGTGTCAACTATAAATTCTTTGCTTGCATCAGGGTATCCCAAAATAGGTGTTTTGCACAGACGGTCCTTGAGCTCCTGGAATGCGATATTGCAACTTTCATCCCAGCAGAAATGTCGCTTCTCCTCGGTTAGCTTGTGCAGAGGTTTGGCTATATCTGCAAAGTTCTTCACGAATCGCCGGTAATAGGAGCACAAACCCAAAAATGCTCTAACCTGCGTCTTGTCTTTTGGAACCGGCCAATCCTTGACAGCGGTGATTTTCTCTGGATCTGTGCGGATACCCTCTTCCGATACTACAAACCCCAAAAAGTTAACTTGCCGTTGAAATAGTGAACATTTCTTCGGGCTCAACTTGAGGTTGGCACTCTGAATCTTCATGAGCACGCGTTCCAGGTTTTGAAGGTGTTCCTCAAACGTACGGCCCACGATGATGATGTCATCCAAGTAGACCAGACAGGCATCGCCAATTAGCCCGGTAAGTACAAGTTCCATCAGCCTTTCAAACGTTGCTGGAGCATTGCACAACCCAAACGGCATTACTTTGAATTGCCACAGACCCTTTCCCGTCGAGAATGCAGTTTTCTCCTTGTCCTTAGGGTCAATTTCAACTTGCCAGTAGCCACTTTTTAGATCCAGCATGCTAAACCATTTTACTCCTGTAAGCATGTCCAGCGTGTCATCAATTCTTGGCAAGGGATAGCTGTCCTTCTTTGTAACGTCGTTCAGACGGCGGTAATCAACACAGAACCGCATGCTGCCATCCTTCTTTTTCACCAGCACCACTGGTGAACACCATGGACTAGAGGAAGGTTCAATAACACCATCCTTCACCATTCCTTCAATCATGGTTTCCACTTCCTTTTCACGTGCTACCGGCAATCTTCTTGGCCGCTGACGGATAGGCAATTCCTCTCCTGTGTTTATTTTGTGTTGAACTAGGCCAGTCTTTCCTATGTCAGCATCATTTGATGAGAATACATCGGCGTACTTGAGTAACAACTTCTTCGCCTTGACGAATTCGTTCGGGGACAGAACACTGCGACAGTCTTCCAAAAGTGTGGT